CACTTTAGAACCCTGGTTAACTACAGAACAAGTACGGGAGTAAGGAAAATGAGGGTTTTATTTGCCTTTATTTTGGATAATCCCACCTCCGGGGCAGATTTTATTTGAATTCTGTAATTAATTTCTCAGTAATTCCTGAGCTCAAATAGTTTAAGGGCCTAGATTTTCCAAGAGCACTCGGTACCCACATTTTGGGCCAGATTTTTAAAAGAGCTCAACTCCCAGTTAGTCCCTTAACATGAAGGGGCAACATTAAAAAAAAAAAAAAACCCACCAATTTTCATTGTTAACAATAAGAGCTGCTGGGCACAGAGCTATTTAGAAAATCCAACCTCTTCATTTAAATATTAAATGGGAGATGAGCTCTTCTGAAATCTGGCCATTTATTTAGATGCCTAAATAGAAGATGCCAAATTCTTGGGAAAATCTAGCCCTAGAACTTTTGCTCCATTTAACCAGTGCGAAATAATGTCACGATGCAAGAGGCAGTAGTCTAGGAATTAAATAAAGTTAAGCCTTTCTATACAAATATTTGACAGTCCGATGAAATTAATTCTAACCAGGGAATATGGCCATCTATTTAAATTTGTGTGTGGTTAACCATATTAAGTATGAATGTCTTGAATACCGAATAGCAAATTTGGGGTTTTTTTGGTCCCAAATCGATTGTGCCAAAACAGCCTTATCCCTGCATAAAAGAAAAAAAGTTAAACAGCATTTTCAGTTGTTCCAATTTCTGTATGTGCATCTGCAATGTTATGAACGTGACAGTAGGATTTGGTAAAAATTCCTTCCCTGGTACATCAAATATACATTGCGGTACTAACATGCAGGTGGGATGAAACCAAAGGCTTGAGAGTTTCCTGAGGAGATCACCCAGAACAGCAGAAATGCAAAATTTCGCCAAGGTGGGCTAGATTGTGATACCCTCATCCACGTTGAATAGTATCTTGCAATATGAGTAGTCACATTGAAGGGAGGCAGTATGGCCTAGTGGATAGACCACTGGCCTGGGACTCAGGAAAACTGGGTTCTATTTCTGGCTCTGCCACTGGTCTGCGGGGTCACTTGGGCAAGTCACTTCACTGCTCTGTGCCTCAGTTTCCCCATCTATAAATGGGGAGAATGATACTGACCTCCTTTGAAAAGCACTTTGAGATCTACTGATGAAAAGTGCTAGATAAGAGCTAAGTGTTATTATGGTGATGGATTAAGTTACTATTCGGTGTGTGTAAGGGTCTCACAAACCTCACTGAGGCTATAGCATGGCTACAGAAGAGCATCAATGTACACAGTATGGTATCAGCTCTGCTGAAAGCGGGAAGATAAGAGAGGGTTTGGTTTTTTTCATTCCCATAAAGGGCCAAGCCTAGAGAGATGACAAATTCACTTTTAACACATTCGAATTCTTTGTTATTTCTGTAGACAAATTGGATTCTTAACCCTACTTTTTTTTTTCCCCCCCTCTCTCCTCGATGCCACCAAACAAGAATGCCTGGAGTACCCGATGACAATATTACCTGATTATCCAACTACTGCAGTAACACAAAACTCTTAGAAAGATGTTGCTACCGCCCCCCGCCCCTGGTATGCAACAGCATGGAGAATGAGGTTTTTACTGAAAAGAAAAGAAGAGGATGAAAGGGGAGGAAAAGAAATTAGCCCTGATGTGCTCTTGTGAAATGAGCTGGAACGCTGAAGCTCAGTGAAACTGTTCCACCTTCGCATCGCATCCCTATGCCGAATGTTACTGATACATGACAAACAAACGGGAAAAGCCGCCCTTGTACATTTGGAACTTGCTTTACCTGAGTTATTAATGCCTTAAAAAGTGCAGGGTTCTGCAGTAATGGTTGCTACCTCGGCAGGAGCATTATGGGCTCCATTGTGGGGTTACCACAAGCCCTGAATCAGGGGCATCGTGAAACTGTGTGGTCACGGGAGCAAAAATCTGCGCCAGCCTTATGCCTGTCACAGCTTACTGCCCTTTTTCCACGTCTGTTCAGCCGCATTGGCTCGTGTGCCGTGGGGGCAGAAGGGACCTCATCAGTAAGGGAGGGGGAGGCTGTTGTGCCCTTTATGATTAAAGCAGACCATGCCAAAGAGTAAGGGGCCATCTTACAACCCCTTCCCCTGGGCGAGGCACAATTTTGCCTTGTGCGTGAATTATGATTATTACGGTAAGCTGCAGTGTTTGGGACAGAATGGCATCGGGCTTTAGGGACGGGATCTACCATTTTCTGGAGGGGAAGACAGCTGAAGTTTCTGCAAGGCAAACAGCGGGCCAGACTGTGCCTTGCAGTACACGGGACATATCGGCCAGGCAGGAGAGGAAGGGGAGTCAGGCCCCCACGTATGCATTGGCCAGCAGAGCTGGCTGGGGGGCAGTGGGATGAGGAGCAGGCTACGTCATGGAAGGGCTGATACAGAACCCTCTGCCCCTCGCCAGTGGAAAAGGGGAGGTGTCTCTGGGGTACAGTTCCTCCCCAGAGTTCCCTTGGGGGCTGCACAGCCACACGTAGCTTAAGAGGGCTGAGTCCAAAGGCTCAATCTAGCCTGTTAATAGCTACTGCTGATGAAATGGCAGTACAATGTTTTAAATACTAGCCTTGCTCTAGTATTTTCAACATTTGCTTTTTGCCATTAAAGACAAGGATGTGGACATCCAAGCAAATTCCTCCTTCCATGGACATGCCACTGTGGACAGTGAAACAGCAGCATCTAAAATAAAACAGCGGGCCAGCTAGTTCACTAAGAGCAGCGTGCCCAGCTACATGGTGAAAGGAACGCCCATTTCTATATGCTCGAAATCATCTGTATAGAGCGGTTCATCACAGCCTCTCTGCCCAGGGGCAAAGAGCTGGAGCACTGCAGAGAAGCTCTAATGGCTTTACAAAACCAGCAGTGTGTTATGTAATCCTTAGCTACACGTGCCCATAGGGTGGCATTAGTCTGCACAGTAGAAGGCAAATGTTGTTGTTTAAATGTGGGTGCCTAAAAAGTTAGGCACCCAAATCACCCATATGTTGAGGCACCTAAATAAGGACCTGCCAGTCCTCAACACCTCAAAACCTCAGGCCGTTTTTAAATAAGGAGCTTAAACTAGGGTTGCCAGGTGTCCGGTTTTCTGACTGGTCACTAAAAGTCTGGTTGGTCGCAGTAACCGGCCTCCACCATTGTGGGGTGGGAAGAGCAGCAGCTGGAGCCATGTGGAGGAACTGCTCAGCTGCTGACGTCTGACAGAGACAGGTGGCAGGCTTCGGGACCGGGTTTGCAGAGGTAGGTGCCGCTGCTCGGGGCGGGGGGGGGGGATCCTGTCCACCTCCCCCTCTACTCCACCATTCCCTGATTGCCCCAGGGACCAGCCCCCACTGTGCCCCAGCTGCCCTGGCCCCTTGGGTGAAGAGGTGGGGCGGGGCAGGGCCTTTGGGAAGACGCGGGGCAGGGGGTGGTCGGTTTTTAGCAGCTAGAAAGTTGGCAACCCTAGCCTAAATATAAAATGTAGGATCTCTCATTTGGGCACTCAAGGTAGACAGTGTAGCCTTTGACGTACCTACTGTAGATATACTCGCCTGTGTGCATATGCCACTGAAAACTTACGGGAACTCTTTAAAACCTGGGGACTCAGTATGCTGCACTTTCCACTTGACCTTTCTAGTAGTGGGATGTCAAACTGTCAATCAATCAATCAAGATTTCAGTTCTCTACGTAGGGCTTTTCCTCTGCTGTAGCTGCCAATCTGTCTGAAATCATGAATGCACCATATATGATACTGCAGTGCTTTGCATTATACATATATGCTAATTTTTATCAACACAACTTCTGTAAAGAGCATTAACTTATAATTAAGGTTAAGATTCTGTCACAGGTATTTTTAGTAAAAGTCATGGAAACCCGCAACCTGTCCCTGACTTTTACTAAAAATACCCTGTGGCAAGGGCTGACCACTGCTGCTCCAGCCCCAGAGAGACTGATCCAGCCCTGGCTGCTGCTCTAGTGGGCCGGGGACTGCTGATCCAGCGGCGGGCTGCCAGCCAGCTGTTCAGCGGCCAGGACTGGCCACCGGGCAACTGTTCTAGTGGCCGCTTCTCTGGCAGCCCAGGGGCTGATCGCTGCTCCAGCCCTGCCCCAGAAGAAGACACAGAGGTCCCGGAAAGTCATGGAATCCAGGTCCTCCATGACAAAACCATACCCTTACTTATAATATGTATAGTATTGCTCTGTGCAAAAGTTCTATTGATCTCTTTGTCATCAGTTGCTCATTACTGCACTGCAAACTATTCAGTTCTTAAAGGGATAATACAAAACGTCTTTTCTTACTCTTCCTAACCTCCCCGCCCCCCACTAGTTCCTAAGTACAATATCTGAGTGTGGACTGTCTGTCACACCATTAACAATATCAAAGGCATAAGGCAAGAAAGAACCTTCTTCTTCCCAGAATCTGTGAGGAAAGCATGAAGCACCTTATGTATGTGCTTAACTTTAAACATATGCTTAAGTCCCAGTACAGTAAGCACATGCTTTAAGTGCTTTCTTGAATTGGGGTCCTAATCTGAGTGTAACCCAAGGCTTTCCCCAGATACTTACACATGTCCCATCTTGAAGCCTAGTCACTTTAGCCACTTAGCTTTGAAGAAGAACGTATGGGATCACACACACATTAAAGACATGGAAAAGAATGACACCTGTCAATTCTATTTGTGCTGATCATTCACCATATTACTGCTAGGCAAGAATGATGAAGTCTGATTTCCAGACTTCTTTTCTTTGCTATTCCTAAGAACGGAAGGCCGGCACTCAATGCCAAGAAAGCTTTTTGCTTGCCAACAATAGAGTGCCACCAGAATTTTGAAAGAGCAAATCTACCCCAATCCCCCTACAGCAACCCACCCCAACATCCTCTATTGTCACCCTTGAGTACAAAGGCAAGAGAAGAGTTGTCAGGTAATATCAACATCAGATGCCACAGGCAGTCATCAGTTTTTCTTTCAGCTGCTTACCAGTGTGGCTCCTTTTATGTACCATAAGCACATTGGGCCCAATGCAAACCATGCCACAGACGTCACATTTCAGTTTACCATTCGGAAGCCGGATTCCTCCCTCGCCTGACAGCTCCTGGATCTTTCTGTTGTCCGCCATCTCGCTGTTCTCAGAGAGGGGTTCTTCCAAGCTGCTTCCTTCATCATGACCCCTGATCTCATCTTCACGGCTTAGGGGTTTCCTGTCAGACTCCTCATCGCTTTGCATTTCTAGCTTTACTGAATTTGCTGAAATGTTAAAAAATATATAAACAAAAAAAAAATCAGTCTTTTCCTCATTACCAATAAACTAATATCGTGGCCAATTAGCATTATTACTAATTATTTGACTACAGTAATGTCTAGAGGCCCCAAACATGATCAGGGCCCCGTTGTGCAAGGTGCTGTACATGCACATAGTTAAAGACGGACCCCCAACCCTAAACATATACAATCTATTCCAAACAGACAGACGGTAGGAGAAAGAAAGCATTTTTATTCCCATTTTGCAGATGGGAAACTAGGGCACAGAGAAATTAAGTGACTTGCCCAAGGTCACCCAGAAATTCTGTGGAAGAACAAGGAACTGAATCCAGATTTTCCACTGCTTTGACCACAAAGTCATTCTTCCTTTCATGGATTCACTGAATGCAAGGAGTACAAAGAGTCGCGTACCACAGGGAATGAGCAGTTAAAAATATTTACTCCTCCACTCGCACCTAATTCTAGCGGTTGCACATCAAACTATATATAGCAGTCTTCCAGATAGAGAATGCTACATAGTCAGTTCACTGACATGAACTCTCCTTAAAGGGACACTTGTTCAAAACAAATTAGTTTAATGAAGAAGGGCGTACATGGTGCAAAGATAATCTCCAAGTCATAGTTCTTGCACAGACCTACTATGCCAGCTGTGTTCTGGTTTGCAGTTCACGTATACAAGTGGGGTAAGGGCATCCCATTGTCTGTATACTCTGTTAGAGCCTGACACACAGTCTGGGAGTCTTTCATTGACTTCAGCAGACTTTATTTTAGACCATTAAGGTGTCACCCAAATTCCATCAAAGCCGATGAGAACTGAAAAAAATCAGACCCCTTGCTGACGTGTCTCAATGCGAGTGTAGATCCCTCACCTTCGGCACCGACATTTGAAAATGTTGTCCAGTTAGCGAAAGCTGCTGTAAAGAATGCCCCAGAGTTTCACTGTCTATCCACAGAACAGACATAGGTGTGTCAGAACCTGAAGACCCAAAGAAGAGTTCTGTGGAGCTCAAAAGCTCATGTCTCTCACGAACAGAAGTTGGTCCAATAAAATGTATTCCCTCGCCCACTTTGTCTCTCTCATATAGGCTATAGGACAGCCATCATATAGGAACAATTTCAGCCCCTACAGACTGAGGTTCGAGTTGAACAAGAGGGTAAAAGCTTCCTCCATTTCCCATTACAAGTACCCTGAGCTACCCAGTCCCTCAGCATTAACCTCATTAGTTACCCTTCTATGTCCCCACCCTAAATAGTTGATAGGTTCAGAAATCTGTGTTTCCATGTTGCCTAGGGCATGTACAGTGCTAGGAACAAAACCAGGAGATCAAAGGCCAATTAAAGGTGACTTTCTAATTGTACAATTGTCAAAATACATCTCCCACTGTTCACCAGGGCATTAATGGGAGCCAAGGAATGCATATACTGTAGTAAGGCCCATGCAGAAAAAGGAGACAGATCGACCATGGTAGCCGTACGTCATTGTAAATCCAGCCATTAAAACATTAAGCATTTTACATTATGAAATATTTTTGCTCTTTATTTGCTGAACGGAAATGATATTTTATTTCCACAAAGATACATTTGCTGATACAAAGATACCATGTCGCAACTGAGGGCTAAACGGTGACTTTGCCTCAAGTTCTGGGTCTGGGCTCCCGGTCATTTCCTGCCCCTTCCCCATGCACAGGAGAGAGCAGGAATATAGCAGCCCACAGAAGCAGCTTTCTCCAGCACGCTGCTAGCTATGGTATGGGTAACTGGCACAGAGGAACAAGGGGAAGCCTTACTACTCTTTACTCACCTGTGTGGACATGAAGGACAAACCACAATCTGGCCCCAAATATGTACAATTCCTATGTTTTACACAGAGTTTTTCAAAGAAACCACGAAGATAGACATTTTCAAGAAAATTTTATAAACATCTCACTTTTTTTAATCAAAACTGCAAATTTCAATTTTTATTCTAACCTGCCCCAGTTTTGTTTGTTTGAATGATGTGAAATGATTCAAGGTAACAAATTAAGAGCAAAAGACCCGGGATCAATTCCTAGCTATGCCATTAGCCTCCTGGGAGACCTTGGGCAAGTCATTTCCCTCATTGTGCCTCAGTTTCCCCATCTGTAAAGGATACTGACCTCCTATGTAAAGCACTTTGAAATCTACAGATGAAAAACACTGTATCATCACCATAATTATGCCGAGCTCTTACTCTGTACTTTATATCAGAGCTCAAAGCGACCCACAATCTTTGAATGTGTTTACGCTCTCATCACTCCTCTAAGGCAAGGCAGCGCCATAGTCCCATTTTACAGATAAAGAAACAGAGGTAACTGACTTTCTCCAAGTCACACAGGACAGTTTTAGTTTATTACAAGGTCTTTGCTTTGGGAATGAAAGGGCCAAGGTTCTAATCCTGCCTTGTCTTTGAAAGTATCTGTGTATGATTTATGCGGAGCCGAATTATTAAAGGTGCTGAGAACCAGCAGCTCCCGTTGACTTCCACTGGAACTGGGGGTGTTCAGGGTATCAGCGCAACAAGCCCAAAGTAATTGTGTCTGCTGTCTATGTGGATTTGTTATACAGGAAGTCTGTGGCAGAGTGAGGAGTAGGACACTGCTCTCCTGACCCAAAATACTGTGTCTTAACCACAAGATTACCCTTTATCCCTGTAGAGTAGGAACAATATGCAAAATAGTCACAACACACTTTGCACCAAGTGAAGGGGTGTATGTCTATGTGAGTGACCGAGTGTGTGCGTGTGCACATGCAAGAGAGAGGAGTGTAATTTGTATCCAGGGTATATTTTTATATAAACTGTATCTCGATTGTATTTATTGTATCTGGAACGTTCATTGGTGCTGAGCCTTCACAGTTCCCATTCAAGTCCATGGGAGCCCTTGTTGCTGAGCACCTCTGAAAATAAGTGACCTGAAAATAAGGTCAGAAGTGCTTAGAAACTGGGAGATTGTTGTCAGTGGCTTATTTTATCTTAACCGAGTGTTGCCTTCTGCTGAATGCTGGCTTGAATCCAGTAGGATAAACAGCAAAGCAAAACAGAGCGAGTTGTTTGCTGCAAAACAACCTTCCAGACACACAACCCTCTCAACTCCTCAGAACACAGCTCAGTAGAACCCTCCAAAGGCCGTATACGGAGAGTTGCTCATTCCATCTCATCACTTAAAAGCACTCTGGCTATTGTGCAGAATTGTTCAGCCTGTTGACAAAAGTTCATACCCGCACCCCCTTTGACTCTGTCCCTGCTGCTTTCAGAAACCTGGCATCATGTGTTTGTTGCTCTGTGAAGGTTCCCTCTTCAGCTGGGACTAGGGAGAGTTGCAGGTCTCCAAGGAAGGGAATGCTGCTACTGTGGGGATCACCTCAGCTCTTCATGAGGACTTTGCTAATCAAGTCATCCTTGCTGCTTTACTTCATGTTGATACATATACCAGATATGTACAATATTTTACAAACACACACAGTTCAGGGGGTGTATTTATTTCTTCTATTTTATTCAGCCCGAAGACAAGAACTATTTACATAACCTTTTCTGTGATTTCACCTATTGCCACAAATTTAACAAATAAAAGAATTATGTTAAAGAGAGAAAGGATGTATAAAGCAGAGTTTGGTGCTATCCTGTACTGTATAATGTCTGCAGGTAAACTGCACCACAAGGCTCTTCTTTGCATACTTACTGAAAACTGCAATCATTCTTGCACTTGACTATGCAATAGATAAATACATATGCACAGAACAAAGTTGAAACTTTTCAGCACCTCTTCTACAAATCACAACAATACAGCAAATGAGTCTAAAATGTCAAACACAATCCAGAAGGACAAGCTGGGTGAGTAATCTCTTTTATTGGACCAACCTCTGTTGGTGAAAGAGAGAAAACTTTTGAGTTTATACAGAGCTCTTCTCCAGATCTGAAGAAGAGCTCTCTGTAGGCTTGAAAGCTTGTCTCTTTCCCCAATGGACGCTGGTCCAATAAAATATATTACCTCACCCACCTTGTCTCTTTAATATCCTGGGGCCAATACAGCTACAACCATACTGCAAACTAATTATTAAAAAAAAACAAAACAGATTTTTTCAAGGAGCATCAAACCTGAAGCCAGAAGTTTTTCCAGTTTAACTTTTCTTCATTTTATCACCATTCACTTTATTGTACTGTTCAACACCTCCTGACACAAACTGAGACAATCACCCACCATAAAAGCACCATCCATAAACCTGATGCTAACAGCATGCATTCAGTGGGGCATACAACTGCTTTTCTTTCCTTCTGAGTATCAGTATTCAACTGACCCTAGCTTATACTTGGAGTAATTATTTTCTACAGGGAACTCTAGATAATGCAATCTTGTCTCATGTGCTAATTAATCAACAATGCCATATTAAGCAGGGCTCTGGTAAGTCCTTAGCACCAAAATATTTTCTTTATCCATGAATAAGCATAACAATCACCAGCAAAAATATTAGCAGATGTTATGCTCCTATTTTAATGATTTTTCGAGCTTGAGTATTGCAAGATGATCCTGCTGTGCATTTTATCCTCTATTATGGAAGTTATCTCCCCCAAAAATGAGATTTAGAAAATCCCTAGTGTCTCATTAAAAGTTTTGATCCTCAGCTGGGGCTACAAGGCACAGTACTGAAAAGTAAAGGTCATTATTTAAAAAAAAACAAGGAGGTAGTAATGCACAGTGGTACCCCACTGCAAGACAAAGGGAAGCACAAAAACTCCTGCTGATAGAATATCATGGGGCAGACACAGTGTAACATACAAAATCAAAGAAATTCTAAGTTAATGCTGACAAAATGTGTTCTTAACTCAGCATGGATCTAAACAGTGTAGAGCAGATGCCAAATTAGCTCACCCAGTGTTTGTTCTAAAAACCCTTGTCCAGGCACAGTGAACAAAGTCATGGATATATTGCCCGCCTTATCTCAACATTTCAAAGACCTGAAGAAATAAGTAA